CACTATTTGGACCCTAGGGTCCGATGTTTGAACCTCGCCACAACTATCTAACTTTGGTGGCGAGCAGCTTCGTTGACGCCCGGCTCTATGCCACGCCAATGCTAATGAGGCCCTTAGGGAGTTTGGTACTCAACGTCCCGGGGCGGGAGAGTGAACGAAGCACCCGTGTGGGAACCGCAAACGAAAACAACGCCCGCTGAAAAAAGAGAGCACGTAATTCAAATAATTCTCATAAATAATCTATCTGGTCATATGTCAGCGCTCGTCTGCGGACCAACCTTCGTAGGGTAAAAAGCAACAGAAGGATAACACCAATTAGAAATAGTTTATCGACTTTTTAGGCTTCGGCAGCGAGCGATACGCCTGACCATATGACGAACAACATATCAAATTCAGCCTAAGCGGTTTATCAGGACCCCCAACTATGTAGTACCCTAAATCAGGAGGAGCATACTGCAGTATTGTGAATGTTATAATGTTCATATAACACATTGATGTCGGTAAAGAATTATAGAACTGAGTCATTTGATAGTAAAACCTGTCTTGAGGAAGGTTACTCACCGTAACCGAAACGTCAGCGAATATAATTCTCTACCGACATCGCTGTGTTATTAATATTATAATATTCACATCGATTTTTCGATACACCCTTAATATCATTTGGTCCCAATGTGTTACAAATATACTGCAGTAGATTCAAAATGAATCAACTTCCCCAAGCGGCTAGGCCAATAGGTTACGGTACATTGAGAGCAAGCGCTGACTTGCATGAATTCAACGCGGCGATTCGATATTAATCAGTGACGACGATGAAGCACAAAGTAGAAACAACGCAACAGTATTAGAGACTTAGCTCGATCGAATGGACCGAATGAGTAACGGAAAGCGTCCTTAGGCTATTTCGAACTGCGATCTGTTGTGGCTGATGAGAGAACAGTTTGGCTTAACTCCAATATTGATGACTGAACCACTGAGTCACACAAGTGTGAATGTTTACAAAACTCGCACCATGAAGTTTTAGTTTCGTCAGTTAATACTTCTGCACCACACCGGCTAGTCGGTCAAACGATCTGATCCCAGGAAGTTCTTGGGAAAACCTCTTCACTTCCCCAGGAATCAAGGCTCGGAGTAGACGATTGGCTGACGCTGTTAATTGCCAACTGAAACTCCGCTACAATGGAGGGGAAGAAAGTTCGAATTTTATTAGCACCGATGCTCTAAGCAAGGTTAGAAATAGCCCTGCCAGACGTGTATAGCAGACGGAGTAATAACGTAACAAAACTCAATCGAACAAAAATACCTGGAAAGGTACAATTTGTGTGAAAAAACCCCAAATGCATCTAATCTTGTGAATAGGTTCCGAGTGAATGGCGAGTCAGTCAGCTTACCGCTTCACAAGGCGAGAAATGCTCGAGGGAGAAAACAACTAACGTTGTACACTGCCAACTAACTGTTGCGCGTGAATGATAAACACGTGAGAGACAGGTTGGTTTCAAGCTCGGTTTCAGCAGCAGTGCGAATCCATCGATCTAACTGGGGATCGAACCCGGGATCTCACAGGCAGAACGCAAGCGTGATACCGACTGCGCCACTCTGGGGCAGCTGATCAGACCGTTTTTCATTTTCCATTGGTACAATATAGTACAACCATCTTTGTGAGCTTTTTGTGGGCCGCAGACCCTGCTCATCTCAGCACCAGCATCCGGGGTTATGACTCGGTTGGAATGTTTCCAACTAATCCCCAGTTGGGTCGATGGATTTGCACTGCTGATGAGACTCAACCAGGGCGAAACAGCGGTTCAGTGCTTTCTAGCTTTTTAGTTCACGCTTCATTTGCTATATACACGACGAATTCACCTTTGAAATTGAATCAAGGCCTCCATTACTCACTTGAACTTTCTGTTTTACTTGACCTGAAAGTAGCGTTCCAATCAGTCGATCGCACTGCATTCTGCTGCCGCTTTTCCCTGAAGTATCTGTGTGTGAGGGTAGTTTGTCACTGTTACGATCCGTTTATACAAATAGCCGAAACCGAGTTCGTGCATTTGGCTC